ATACTGATGCTCGCTTTGAACTGCAGTAGATTGTCTCGACCATGTCTAAATGCACTGAGTTGCCGCCATGTGATTGACTGCTTAGAAATTAAGTGTTAACGAGCAGTTGGACAGGTGTACCTAATAAAGTGGCCGGTGAGTGTACATCCCATTGCTGCACTGCAGTCAGGATCAAATCAGTAAAGTAACAGAATACGGCCATGAAAACACTTTATTATAATTAATGGCTTCCAAATAGTTGCATCAACACAATGTTCACTGCACCTATGAAGACACTGTAGGATACATGCCAGGCCCTTTGGTGGCGCTGTGATCACACCCAAACCACTGGGCATAGGCAGGCAGCTGATCTGAGGTAAACACAACAACATAGCACCGAGGAGGGGGGAGGAGCTACAGCATCGTCATATGAAGAATGAAGTGTCTCTGATGAACAAAGTGAAAAAGGCCGCCATGTTCTGATGTGTCTACCCTGAGACATGGTTTCAAACATGGTCTTAATGGTCTCCCTTACTCCTAATCTCTCCATGTGGTTTGGATCTGAGTTTTATGCTGTAGTTTATGATAAGGTTATTAAAAAGTTTAATGTTCCTTGAAATAGCTTTATCAAGAAGTTCTGACTATTTCATCCGGCTTAACTCTGGTTAGCCAGCTCCTTTAGGACAGGATTTTTTGTGATCCTTCATTTGAAAAGAATCTGATTCAAGAATCAATGGAAACAGGAATTGTTTGTATTAAATTGAAACCAACCCAGAGGGACCAGGGGTGGGGGGTGGATCAGTTTCCTCTATTGGAGCCAGAACTTTGTTCTGGATCCAACCCAGTTTCATTCAGATTGGACCAATAAGTCTGCACAGAGGGCAAAAGCAGCTTTATTATCACTGCAAGACAACATTTAGACAGAAATATCAAATTACAGTGAGTTTCCTTTTCCTACCTTTTGCTTTGTAATTTTATTTATCCCTGTTTGATTCTCCAGGCCTCTGGCGGTATGATAACAGGAAACAGAAGAAGGTTATGACCCACCAGCAGCTCCAGAACCTGGAGAGGATCTACAACATAGATTCAGAGGCTCTAGAATCTCTTCAGACAAATGAAGAACAGGACAACCTAGAACCTGTATGGGAAAAAGAAAAAGATCATAGCAGACTTTGGGATGAAGAGCAGGTGTCTGCTGCATTTAAAGACAGAGCCCACAGAGGACCAGAACCAGAGGGGAGAATTTTCTTCACTCTAAACTCTGTGGAAGATAAGAACCAAAAGAAGGAAGAACCCAGAGCAGAAGATCCAAATAGCAGAATCAGAAAGTCAGAAACCAGACGACACGATGAGAAAAGAAACGGAAGGAAAACGCTGCGCAACTGTAATGTTTGTGGTAAGACTTTCTCTCAGTGGTACATCGGTGTTCACATGAGGATCCACACAGGTGAGAGGCCTTTCACATGCATGACGTGCGGGAAGAGTTTCAGCCAGAAGATGCAGCTGACTCGCCACATCAGAATTCACACTGGTGAGAGGCCCTTTCCATGTAAGCTGTGTGGAAAAAGGTTCAGCTTGAAGCAGAGTTTGCAGCGTCATCTGAGGACTCACACAGGCGAGAGGCCTTTCTCATGTAAGATTTGTGGGAAGAGCTTCCGCCAAAAGATGACAGTCTCTCTGCACATGAAAGTTCACACCCAAGAGAAACCGCATTCCTGACATTTATGTGAAAAATCGTTCAGACTGAGACAGGAGTTGGCTTGTCACGAGAGAAGTCACACAGCTAACCATCCAAACTGAGTTTTTAATCAAAGATTGACCAATAGGTGGAGAAAGAATCTACTTTAACTATAAAAATCATTTTTGGGAATAAGATGATTTTCTTTAGAAAATGCAACGAAAACTTCCTTTAAAAAAACATTGATTCACAGGTTATATTCTGACTGTGATGAAGACCTTCCTGTAAACAATAAACTCATTATCTCAATTCAGCATTTCTGATTTTAAACTGTTGTCTTTATGTAGATTATCTTGTTTAGTATTTAATCATTCTTGCATCAGCAGAGTGCCGGTACATTGTTCATATAATGTAATAATTATGCATATTGGTGGATCTTCGCAGAGTCCCCTGCTGACTGCTGTAGTTGAACACCAGATGTCCTTTGAGGATAAATGGGCAGAAAGGATGGATATTACTTGTTCATTTTGATGCCTATGAAGCCCCTGTTTGTTCATCTGGGGTCCAGTCTGTTGAACTTGGCTAAATGAACCCCCAGACTTGCTATATTTATTCTGACAAAGAAGAAAATGAAACTGGTGATGAACAACGCTCCAACAGCTTCTACTTCCAGACAATAAATAATATGCAGCAAACAACTGAATAAACTAGAGAGTGTTGGATCAGTGATGAAATTAAACAAAAAACCATTTGATTAAGATGAAACCAAAAATATATACAAAAAATGGCAAATTCCCACACAAAACAGTTATATTGTCTAAAGTATATGTTCAAATATTCAACACTATCAAAAGAAACCGAGAACTTATCCTGATATGTACTGCAAATACAGACAGCGGAAGAAAAAAGGGTTGAGCTAATTGGTTCTGTCTTTAATAACCAGTGTTAGACTTGGTTGAACAATGAACTGTTTTTATTACAGATCAATTCAATCTCACTTCAAATAGAAACCAAAGATGTGTTTAGAAGATGTCCACATTCAGTGCCAGTGGATTTTAAATAAGTAAAAATAAAAAATACATCCAAATTTTAGTAAAAAACTGTCAGTATATAAAAAAAAAAAAAAAGAATGTCCAAAAAAGTCACTGAAACCAAGAGCATCGTGCCGCTGTGTCTATGTGTATGGCCATAAAAAAGTAGTAATTTAGGAAAGAATTTAGAAAGAGTTTATTTAATGAGATTTATAAATAAGATCGCAGAAAAGTGACCATGCAGTAAGACAGGAGATGTCATCAACATCCTTACTGATTTTTTTTACTCCATCAGCATCTTGATAATCTGAAGAGAACTAAAAACGTGACCAGATGGTGGTCCAAAAATAGGAATAGCATGTTAGCATCCTTTTCTCAGAAATAGAAGCACCCCTGGTTTTGTTCCTGTCCTGTCGGACTGATTCACACATTTTCATTTATTGGAGAAAGTCAAGATTCACTTGGGAGCAATTCACCAATTCAGTACAGATTTAGAAAATACATGTAGAACGGATTTACAGATATAGAAATATGCCTGACATGTGACAGCTTTTCAGTCGTTTACAGTAACAAGTAAAGACTTACAGTATAGGATAAACTAGTGCCTAAATGTCGGTGGTAAGTTGAATCAACAGAGAACGTTATGATGACTTTGGAACAACATGACCTAAGGAGCTCCTAATATAAAAAACAGCAGAGAATTGTACATTTTTATTTAGCATGAACGACTAAAACATTTACACCATGTTCAAAGAAACAAGCCTTTTCCATTCACACTCAAGGAAAAAAATATGTGAAGATTGACCATGTAGTTTTGTTAATTTTAATTTTTGTATTTGAACTACCAAATTGAATTAAAAAATGTAAAAGACAGAATGAACAGACTAACTGTTCTTCTCTTTCAAACAGTAAATATGAGATATAAATGATGTTACCTTCAGATTTTACAATAATAGTTATGTTGAGCTGAAGGCTTTTTCTAATTTCCAGTCAGAACACAAAGATTTTTTTAACTTAAATGAATGAAAATAAGGTTTGTTTAGATACATAACTTGTGAAAATCAGCTTTAAATATAATATAAAAGCATTTATTTAGAATTAAACTCAAATAAAAGGATAGCGACAGAAAACAAAAACGATCAATCAAGACAGGGGTACAGGCACATGCAATTTATGATAATTACCAATTGTAGAACACATTGGTATTTACTGGATAAATGGAAAATCTTAACAGATTTTTTATTAGACACATATTCTACAGTTTTAAGATGCTACAGGTTCATTATTAAAATGGTAACCATTCAGAATTGTTTCTTTTTTTCCTATGGATATGATATTTTGCAAACATTATTAATTATGTTTAGGGAAAGGGAGAAGTGTTTTCTAAAGCTTAAAGGTCATCTTTCACTCTGGTCTGAAATCCCGACTTTTGGGTGAAAAAATAGTTTTAAAATGTGGTTTTAAATACCAACAAATAACAAAGACCGAAATGTTTTCACTTAGTCAGGAAACAAACAGCGCCCCCTGAAGGCCGCCATTACACCGGAAGCTAAATGTAACACTTCCGGGTAAGAAAACAAAGGTGCTAGCAGTGTTAGCATCTTCTTGTCAGTTTATGTAAAGATCCAATGTGAGTCCGCGCAGCAACAATGTGTTCAGTTCAGCCTCTGAGAGAGTTTATCAGACAGAGACTAACTGCTGCTGCTGAAGAAATCTTCTCAGAGGTGGAAAAAACCATCATCCAGTACCAGGAGGAGATCGACCGTCAGAGACTGCTGGACATCAGCTCACAGAGAGCAGGTTCGGAGCAGCAGCTGTTCTGATGGGGGGACATTCAGGGACGGGTTGGTGGAGTTCACTGCTCAGAGTCTGTATTTCAGAAGCTGTAATGGCTGAAACTGAACGCATATAGTCAATGACTTCATGATGGCAGCTTCTGGTTCCTTGAGAATCCCAGCTCTACATCAGAGCTGGACATAATTAAACGGGCTAAATATATCATTCATATCCTGCAGCAGATTAAGAACCAGAACCGGGCTATAGGGTTCTACTGCTGGGAAAATTCACTGCATGCTTCCTGGGATCAGAACTTTCATTCAATAAAGCAGGATTAATGGTAATCCAGAGTAAATTATGGGGTGAATTAGATATTGGCTGCTTGTTGCATGTCAGAACTGATGTTTTCTACAAAGGTTTATCTAGTTAGGACGGTTCCTCTGTCCAGATATACAGTTATAATCTTCATTCTGTATGTGAGAAATATTTGAGAATGGCTTAAGAGCGGTGTCCTTCAACTAAGAACAAATTGTAACATTTTGTTAAGGCTGAAGTTATGATTTCTACTCATCTGCTAAAGTGTATGATGTAAAATACAGGGACGGAGCTAGATGGGGGGCCATGGCCACCCTTAGTCAATCATTGTCACCCATGTGGCTACCCCTACCATTTATTTCCCCCGATACAGATGGTGGCAACAGTAAGGCTACTTTCACACTGCAGGCCTTGATGCTCAATTCCGATTTTTTGTGAAATCCGATTTTTTTTTTTTTTACACTGCTCTTCATATTTCCAAATATATGTGACTTGTATGCGATCTTTTGAGTGAACTGCAGTCATAAAAAGCAAGTGTCCAGTACAGGATGCAATGACGTCACAGGCCAGTGTGCTCTGTATTTACGGAAGTAAGCATGGACGGTAGTAACCTGACTTCGCCAGATGGATTTGGTCCGCATATCCACCTGGAAACCTTCCGTTGAAGTAATTTTGGGAAGGGGCGAAAATACTGGTTAGCTGATTGGCCTATGTTGGTGATAGATGGGCCAAATAAACCAATCAGATCAACGAAGCATATGACGAACTAACAGAGCGACGACGAAAACACAAGCCAGGCTACTCTTGCTGCTGCAGGTAAAGGTAAAAGCAGTGTTTTGCTCTTCTTTCAGTGAAAAAATACTCTGTAATTCCGATAAAACTTGCTCCATAGCCACGCTAACGCTAGTTTCATTGGCTGAAGCCGTCATGTTCTTTAGACTGAACTGTCGCTCTTCTCGTTGCGTCACACCTCAACCCACCTCAAAGCCAACGCTGATTGGACGTTTGTTTGGTGAACTGCTCCAAACTTTTTTTAACGGAAAGTAGCCAGACGGATCTGCGAGTGAAACCTTGAAAGCTTGCGAGATCGGGATGGTCTCAGGAGGCTAGGACGGTAGTGCCGAATCGCTTCTAACGGTTTTTCCCAACCATAAAAACACAATCTTCTCAATATGGTTAAACATAAATACTTCTCTCCGCATCATCATCTGTCATGGTTGTTGTTTTTCTTGCCACTTCTTCATAGTAAGACGAAGAATAGTGACCTTTGTCGGGTATTAATGACGTTCAGGTCGGATTCATCCGACCTGGCCGTTCAGACACAGGTCGCATTTGAAAAGATCAGATTCGTATCGGATTCAGCACCACATAGCCAAGTGGCCTGAGTCGCATTGGAAAAAATCGGATCTGTGTTGTTCAGACTGCCATGAAAAGATCAAATATAGGTTGCATATGGGCCAAAAATCGGATTTGGTTCACTTCAGGCTGCAGTGGGAACGTAGCCTAATACTCTCAAGTGGAATGTTCATAACATTTTTTTCATATATTAACAATTACTTGAAAACTAAAACACTGTGGTTAATTATGCACATAAATATACTAACATTATAAATGATAAGTACAGAATTCAAGCAGAAATAGATTTTGTGTTTTATGGGTTAAAGTGAAAATGATGTGTCTCTGCAAGTCATCTAGGAGTCTTCAGTGAAATAATGCATAAATAACTATTTTAATAAAAACGTATTAAATAATCAATTTAGGTAGATATTAGTACTTGTAAATATCAATTTTATGCAGAATGATTATTTATAAAAGCAGGTAAGTAATGACAATGGAAAAGATTTTCACCCAAAACTCAAACCTGAAAGAATTTTATCCACTATACCTTTTTTTTTTTGTTTTTAGAAAGCACGGATGTTTGAATATATTTGTCTCTTTGTTAGCAAAGGCTGTAGGAAAGTATAGTTTGTCTTTATTTAGAAATCTGGTAAAATAAGATGATGTGACAGACTGGACATGTATAACATGCCTTTTTAACTGTGAATCGGGGCCACTTCCTGAGAGGTGAGCCCAGAGGTTAGCAGCTATGGAAGCAAATCGTTACCAAATTTCAAATGAAAAAGCATTTTCAGAAATGCTTTTTCATTTTAAGAATGTGGCTGCATTGTTTGACTCATAAATGAAATTAGTAATCAATAATCGTATTTGCATTTTAATTTTCTTCTTCAACACTGCTCATCCTTTTACTTAATTAAAATGAAAAAGAAAAATACATTTGGGATTTATTTTTCAAAATGTACCCCAGAAAATATATAGCAAAATTCAATTTGAAACGCAAAATTTGAAAATGAAAAAGC